GTTATATAGAGTAGCACTGCATGTCCAGTGGGACAACCAAACTAGATTTGGGAACATTTACCTGACACTGGGTGGAATGCTCCTGCTAATGAGTTACTGTGGTTCTATTGAAGCTCTTATGGCTGAGTCTGGAATCGAAGAAATACTGAGTTCAGCATTTGGTGGTGTGGCCAAAATGTTGAGTGGCAAAAAATATCTGCAGAATGTCAAAACACTAAGGTTACTGATAGAAGAACTTCTTTTACCCTTGATTGCGAAACACCATCTGGAAAGCATGGTCGATCTCCAGAAAGCATTAGAAGGTATGGCATCTCAAAGCAGAACAGCAAAGTTCTGGGCAGATTGTGTTATCAAACCAGTCATCATAATATTAAAGTACACTCATGCAGAGTGAGAAGGTGATTGGCCATTGTATTTGGCAGCTGTCAAAGATATGATCCCAATTTTCTTTGCAGCAGGACATGTATACTATGCATGCTATGCCCTGTATTACTTGAGACTGATGCAAAGCATGCCTGAGAGTGTAAGCTCAAAGTTCTTCAGAGGCCAGCACACAATGCATTACAATTCTGGTCTATTTAATGGCATTTAGAGTGATATCACCAAAGAAACTACCTATATGAGGTATGGACATGAATTGTTAGGATAACACTCAAGCACAAAAGTCTACAAACCTGACATAACATAATCAATGATTTGAAAATCGGGTGGGATAGCGAACAGCAGGTAGAACAAAACCACCACAAAGAAGGAATGCCAGCAAGAACCACTACTGACACAAGCGATAGAAAAGCCTTGCAAGACAAATTAAGAGCTCTGTATAGATCTGCTACATCCAGATCAGCATTCAGCAGGACTGGTGAATGTCGTCAGTGGTAAAATTGCTGTTCACTCTTCTGTGAACATTAACAATGCAATTTTGATTGGAAAGTCCCAAACAGAGAAATTCAAAGAGTTGGCCTGATGGCTTTCAGGACACCATACCCAAACTTGTTACAATGATGGCAGTCACATGTAAATTTGTCAAAGTAGGTGAAACCATAATCATTGACACAGAAACTGTCTATGCAAGAGCAATGGGCCTGCAATCAAGTGCACAGGATCTCAACACAGATGAACTCTTCAATCAGAAACTTGCACCTGTTCAGACATCAAAGTTCGATGAAAGTGGAAACATGAGGGATGCCAAGGATAAATTGTGTCTCAAACATTCTCTCAGAGTTGAAGTATCCAACTTGATGGATGTGTGATCTTTTGGATGTTACTGTGGCCATTGTCTGGGACTGTACAAGAATATCTAAATCACTTCCAAGGGTATATTCTAAGCCATCTGAAACAGATGATGTGTACCTAATATTTGACTTGTGAGTGTCCTTATGGTAATGTCTCTGATAAATATATTGCATTTAGTTGTGTTAATGGATCATTAATAAATCATCAACACGTATCATTTTACTTCCAGGTACATCAAGGATAGCACAAAAGAATCCACACAAGCCCAAAGAGTAAAAGCAGCTAGACAAGTATACAAATTATGATTCAACGCTGCTCTACTATTACAAAAGTGTATCTCACAGTCACAAAAAACAAGGTCCAACTGATTGATTTAATTATTGAAGACATTATGTCTCACAGAAATGACTGTCAGAAAAATAAGTTGTTTGGAGCAATCCTGTTCCAGTTGAGATCAGTGGGGGCATGCAACTAAATGTCATGATATGACAACAACTCAGAAGGAGGCTAATACAATTATCATTTAGCAAGTTGCATGAGTGTTCTTGTGATTGTTGATAACACTGATATATACATCCTTTTACTGCACTTCTGTTATCAGAAAAAGATATCATGTAAAGTACTGGTGGTTTCTCTGATCCAAGGACGAGCTGTTCTTGATGTAAGTGCAGCTGTATCAAAGTAAAGCTCTGTTGTCCCAAATTTGGTGGCTGCACATAGTCTAATAGGCTGTGATACTGTAGCATCATACTTTGAAGTTGGCAAGTTGGTGGCTCTAAGAGTTATAAAATCTGAGAATTGTTCACTTGACCTGCTGGGCACTAATGCAAATTTCTCTGATGTTTTGAAGCAAGCTACTCATTTCATTTTGTCATACTATGATCAACCTCAGTGTCAGTCTATGTCTGAGGCCTGAAAAAAGATCTGGTTGTCAAAAGTCAGCAGGAGTAAAGCTTGTGCTCCAAAGCTCTGTTCCATGCCTCCTACTAGTGAGGAATTCCGAGAGAATGTAAGTAGGACTCATCTTCAAGCAGTTGTATGGCTCCATTCGCTGGACAAATCTCCACCTACTTTAGATCCCACAGATTTTGGATGGTCCAAAGCCCCTGGATCCAATGTATTGAATCCAATTCTCATATAAAATGACACTCCAGTCACTCCACCAAAACTTTTGAAGCTCATTCGTAGTTCATCCGAAAGTCAAGCTTCATACAAAACACGATGCTGCAGCTGTACAAGTTCTAATAGTGCATGCACATCTTTCTGTTCCTGCCAGGCAGGAAACATCTGTCACAAAGAAAAAAGTAGAGATTCCCAATGTTTGTCAGATGATGATGATGATGTGGACGAAAAAGGGGTCAGTGACAAATTGGCCTTTGGGTGCCAAACTATAGTTAGATATAGCTAGTACTGCAATTAACTATAGTAAAATAAAAAAATTACAACTTTGTAAATCTTTATTTTTTTGCAATTAGTGAAATTCATTAACACATTAATTACCAAGCTTATCAGTCAATTATCTTCACATAAAACTTTGATAGTAGGAATAGTCAAAAACAGTTATCATTAGAAACACTACCTTCAATTAGTTTTATTATTTTTGTGAGTGGTAATACAAATCAGTTAAGCTGAATAACCTTGATTTGTTCAAAAATAATAAGAAATCACAAGGGTAACATTTTGAATACTTGCACAATTGGAATAATCAAAATAGTAATAACCAGAAATACTAATTTGAATTAAAAAGGCAAATATGCATGGACAAATGCAACATGTCTCCACCACACAATCCAAACAGGGCCAATTTTGGCACCAGAAAAACTGAAAACTGTCTATATTACTGCTTGAGACCTGCAAGAAGGTATCTTTGTATCAAATCCTATGTAAGTTGGTTGACATACATATGAATAGTTCATGAAAACCCCTAATTGTGCTTTTCTCACTGAAAAATTGAGCAAAAAACAAACATTCCAAAATTGTCTAGATCTCTGTTTGGGACCTGTAAAAAAGTATCTTTGTATTAACTTCCATGTAAATTGGAAAAAATGTGGTAGAGTAATTGTCAAAAAAAACTTAAATTATGCTTTTTTTGTAGCATACCCCTCTATAATTACTAAAAAAATAGGGAAGTCCAACATTTTAATTTGTCAATGTGTGTTGCCTGTAGAAAAGTATCTTTGTACCAAATCCCTTGTAAATTTGTCAAAATAGGGCTAGTAATTGACCAAAAACACCAAAAATTATGCTCTTTTATGAGCTCTGCCCCCCATAAAAAAAAAAGAAGAAACTCAAAATGAGCAAATCTAACTTTTTGGTAAGTCCATATGTTGAATGCATGAACGTTTATATTTGTGCCAAATTTTACCTTGGTTGCTGTACATTTTACTGCACAAAATTTTAAAAAATCCACAAAATCCTAAAAAAGACCTAAATAAAAAAGTGAAGACGATACCTCGGCATATTGGACTAAGGTATAACCCTATGAAGTTCCAAGTCAATCCACCATGAAATTACCATATGGCAGTCAATTTCAATGGATGAAGTCCAGGTTTTGGGGTCAGAAGTGGTTTTTGTCCAGGACTGACCCATTGTTTTTGGCATCTAATATTTGCATAGAGAATCCATTTTTCATCACCGGTAACAATTCTGTCAAAAAATGGTTCACGCACGTTACGCGCCAGAAGAGACAAAGCAACTTTCACACATTGAAAATGATGATCATGGGAGAGTTCGTGAGGCACCCAAACAGTTTCTTTATGGAGTTTTCCCATATTCCTTACATGTTAACGTATTGTTT